AATTGAAGCGCAGAATTGAAAGCCTAATATTATTAAAATATGAATTGAAATCCTAATATTGTACTACTAAAACATGAATTATGAAATAAGAAATTTTTTTAACTACACCTCTATTAAGTTATAACCTCCTAATAGTAATAAAATTAGTTAGTCCCATCATTATGACTATAGAGAGGTTTTAATGTATATACATACATACATTATATATATAGACAAATACATAATGACAACGTCCATGAGACGCATATCAAATCCTTCGGAGACTGATAAACTAATCAAGTTTCGAAATGTGATCGCATCAATCACTGGTGAATACATCTCATCAAAGTCAATCCCAGGTCTTTATAGGAAACCTTGAGCAACTAGTTTGACCTTATACCTAGCAATCTCATTTTTCTCATTTTGTTTCCTTGTGAATACCCATTTGTATCTTACAGTTTTCACGTTTTCAAGCATTTGGACTACAAATCCAAATACATTGTGTTTTGCTAGAGAGGTTAATTCTACTTGAATTGCCTCTTCCCATTTTAGCCAATCATGTCTGTTTCAACATTCATCAATAGAACATGGCTCAAACTCATCATTCATAATTTCAATAGCGATTGCATATGAGAATATGTTAACTCTTCTAGAGTTAGTTTAGAAGATGTGGAATTGTCAATTATTCCAGTATTGTCAAGATTGGCACCTATTTGATTTTGTGCGTTTTGTTTACTAGGAACATTATCCTTGGCTCCAACAGGCCTACCACGCTTTTGGCGTGTAACTGATGAATCGATTACTGCCCGCATGGACTGTTCATTGGTAACATCAATCCTTGCTGGTGTATTCATAGCAAGAATGTATGATCTCATTATTTTCGCTGCATTTGTAAATGCATTAGACATTTGGTTGGCAATGTTTTTGCAAATGTACTATTCTTTGCACTTAAATTTCAGATTGAGATGTGCAAGGATCTAAATGAGATATAAATTTACTTTCTAAGAAATTTCAGGCTTTACTCTAGGAGGCTTTACCTTTCTCCCTAAAAGAGGAAATATTGTCTAATCAAATGGCAATCCGCAAAACGTGCGGTAAACAGATCACCCATCAAGGGCTCAAGATATCAGATAATGGATGGTGAGTCATACATATATATTCCCAAATGAAATTGGGTTCCCATTTTGGTGCGTTTGGGGGTGGGGGGGTAATTGGAACTTGCACAACACAACCAAAAGTTCTTAAATGGGATATATTAGGTTGATGTCCAAACACAAGCTGTATTGGAGAGTATTGATGATATGCAATGGGTCTTAGGCGAATTAACGTCGCAGCATGTAAAACATCATGAGCCCAGGCAGAAGTTAGTAATTGCATATGTAATAGCAAAGTTCTTACAATTAATTGGATACGCTTTATGAATGACTCTGCCATACGCTTATGGGTATGTACATGTGGTATTGGGTGCTTAGCATTAATTCCCATTGATGTGCAATAGTCATTAAATGTCTTTGAGGTAAACTCACAAGTATTGTTCAGACGGATTGCTTTAATTAGGTAATCTGGAAAGTGTACTTTTAATCTAATAATTTGTGCCAACATTCTAACAAAGGCAACATTACGAGTGGATAGTGGACAAACATGTGACCATTGTGTCAATGCATCAATCAATACCATAAACTAGCGGAAGGTCCACTTGGTGGATGAATAGGTCCACATATGTCCCCATGAATTCCTTGTAAAAATGATGGGAATTCTATACCAACTTTAGTGATGGATGGCTTAAGTGCCAATTTGCATTGTGAGCAAGCAAAACAAGCACTCTCATTAGGTGACAGAATCTTCAGGTTCTTTAATGGGTGCCCGTGTGATTTTTCTATAATCCTACGCATCATTTTAGATCCTGGGTGGCCAAGACAATCTTGCCAAATTTTAAAAAGTTCAAGATTAGTGAACTTCTGGTTCATAATTGCATAGATTTAAATATTCTACAGGAATGTGTAATATAACTTTGATGAGAAAGCAGAGAGTTTCTCCAATACATGCTTCTGACATGAAATATTAGAAGTGATGCATAGAAACTCTCCATCCTTTTCACTTGAAGTGTCAACATGGTATCCATTGAGTCGTATATCTTTGAAACTAAGCAAAATTTTTTGGATTTGCTAGAGTATAAAGCATCATGGATACTTAATTTAGTTCCGCCTAGTAACAAAAGTGTTGCTCTTTCGAAGCCCTCAGTTATGTTTGCAGATCCTGATATGATATTTATTTTAGCCTCAGTAAAGGTCAAACTTGAGAAATATTTTCTATCCTAAAGGATGGTGTGCATTGTTGCACTGTTTACTATACAAATGTCTCCACAATTGTTGGATATTGATGCCTCAGTTTCGAAGTCCATCCTTAAAAAAAAAAATTTACATTAGTAAGGATGTTTACATAACTTCATTTTCATGATGTGGAACTTTAGGTCAATTTTTTGTCTCTGTTTTACAAACTTCATGTTTGTAATCAGTATTTAGAACTTCAAATTCTAAAATGATATTTATTTATGAAACTTCAAGTTCATTTATCGCATTTAGCTATTGAATATATAATAAAAGCAGATCTATTTAGAAAAGGTTGTATTCAACAAGAATGATTAGATTCGACTATGAAGGTGGTATTCAACAATAATAAATAGATCCAGCCATAGAGACAGAATTTATCAATAATAAATATATCTGACCATAGAGGTGAAATTTAATAATAATAAATAAATCCAGCCATAAAAGCGGACAAAAATATTAAAGAACACATGTAGGATCGAAGTACTTACTTTCAATAGGGGTGCAACGTTACACTTGTTAAGCTCTTCATGCAGATAATGTATTGTAAACTAATTACGAAATATAAAATAATTATAAGGACTAATGAATAACAAATGAAAGATAAAGGACTATTGCAAATAGAAGAACGATAAAGGGGCTAAAATTTATTATCTTCTCATCTTAGTCCACTCAAATTATGAAGGAGGGAAGGGTTATTTAGTAATTCTTGTCACCCTCCAAACTAATCAAAACATGCTATTTAGCAACTAGGTGTCAAAAATTGTTGCCATCTTTTGCCATGTGTCAAGAGGTGGCAATAGTGTGATGAAAGGTCTAAAATGGTGGTAGACCCACATTTTCTTTACAACACGAACATACTTTTAAGTTATTTTATTTTGTAATAGAAATGTTTGTTATAATTCTTATGTTTTGTGTTCTTAATTTAATTATTTATAAGATTTTCTTTTCTAACTTTAATTTTTTTTGAACTTTCAATTTGAATATGTAATATTTTATTTTAGTTTTGGTGATTGTTGGGGGTATATAACATAAGTGAAATGAATGAAATATTTACTATTTTAAAAGAATAAAAACAAAAATTGGAATGAAGAGCATTTATGGAATCTATGGAATGTCATAAAAAAAAAAAAAATTAATTTTTAAATTTTTAAATAGGGTATTTTAATAAATGGGGCTTCTTTAGGCTATTAATAGGTGTCAATAGAATCACTCATAATATAAAATTGGAGTATGATTTTTTAGCCCCTATTCAATATATTAGGGTGAATTCTATCATGAATTTTGTGTTTTTTTTTGAGAATATTGAAAATAATGGAAAAATACAAAAAATAAAAAAGCGTTCGGTATATTTATCTAAAAACACAAAGAAAATAATTAAAAATACGAAATTAATCACCTCCAAAACCAACAAAACCCCCTAAAATTATCATTTATTTTGTTAATCTTCAAGAGTTTATCTCAAATATGTCAATATTTAATTTCTGTCTGCAATTATGTGTTAAAAATCTTGATTTTAAAAGAATTGTTTTTTTTTTTTAAATTTAATTGTGTTTTTTTTTTTAATCACTAAATGTTAGTTTAAATGTGTTCTATAAATGTGTGACCTTCTCTCATAAAATATAATTGTAAGTTCAAGGTTGATTTTATGGATTTAGATATTTGTTGAGTGAAGGATTTAAGAAATTTGTTGAGTTAGTAATTAGTGGAAGGGTAAGATAGACTTTTAATTAAAAATTAGATAGAACGATGTTTTTAATACTTGTAAAACAAAATAAATTTGTGTGATATTAACAATTTCATAGGGGTTAAATGAAGTAGACCAAACACAAGAAATGTATCGATCAAGGCCATGAGGGGAGTTATCAAATAATTCTTCAAATGTGAACAGAAATCACTGTTAATTTTTCATACCTTTGGGGTGTGAATGTAAAGCTGAAATTTTAGGTGAGGTGTGGGATAGGTGTTTATTGACTAAACGTGAACCATGCGACTATTTAGTATTTACACCTTAACCATGCGCGTTACTCATGACGCTTTCGTAACATCTCGTTGCATTTATCAGATTTTGGGCAAAACGTGGCACGCGTCTGATGTGCTCTGTTAAATTTTCAGATAATATTCTATTAATTCTGTCATTCCCATGTGTTGTTTGTTTCTAGCACAATTCAAGTTCCAAGTCTTATAGACAGCTGATTACTTCATCATAATTTTGTTTTATCTTTTATAAAGAGAAAAAAGAAAAAATTGAACTCCAATTTGAAACATTAATAATTTAATAAAATATAAATCTAAATTAATGCTTAACATAATAAATATAGTATGTGATAATTGTTATTTTCTTTAAGAAAAGAAGTGATTCTTTTTTTTTTATTATTATTATATCTTACCAAAAAGAGGTATAAGTATTTTTAACTCTTTACGTCTTCCCATTTTGCCAATTGCAAATCATGTGAAAGTTGAGTTTTCAACGCATGAATACAAGTCAAAAGTGAATAGCAATAGCGTGTCGAAACTGAAAACAATTCCACCTCAGATTCAGCATCCAGAAAACGCCTCTTTAATCTTTTGACTTTCAAGATCCTACCCATATATAAAACAATCTCCATCAAATTTGTAATGACCTATACATAATATTATTCCAAAATCCTTCAATCTTGCTATTGTTGTTTTCTTATAAATAACTAACTGAAAATGGGACACCGTCTGAATTTTCATCTTCATTTCCAGCATCAGCATCAGGAAGTGCCAAAGGGATGTTTAGCCGTGAAGGTGGGTCATGAAGGTGAAGAACAACACAAGTTTGTGATTCCAGTTATGTACATAAATCATCCACTTTTCATGGAGTTGTTGAAAGAAGCTGAGGAAGAGTTTGGATTTGATCAGAAAGGCCCCATTACCATTCCTTGCCATGTTGAGGAGTTTCGTAATGTTCAGGGTATCATTGATAATCACTACTCAATTCATCATATTGGGTGCTTTCATTAGAATGATTTGAATTTCATTTTATTATTACTTATTGTATTATATTTGTAGAAAATTAATGTCAAAGAGTCGTTATTTACTTCCTACACTTTTTATTATACACTACAAGATTACGAGAAACGCTAAGCAAAATCTCTTTTACACTCTAATTGTCACGTGTGTACAAAGAGACAAATAAAATGAGAAAATAAATAATCATTCATTACAAGTGAAAATGGTGTTCCTAACACTCCAAGATTATTTTTATATTCCCAACACATCTGTTTCAAACTAACATAACACCTACGCCAACGCTAGAATGATATCCCTTCACATATCTTATTTTTTTAAAATAAAATTGCCTTTATATATTTTAAAGACAATTACATTTAAATTTTATATTTATATGTAATACCGGTAATGTTATATAACATTAATGGTGTATTTGGTTGGGAGAAATCTCCCATTCCGAAGGTAATGTCATCTTATTTTACTTGATTACCACGTTTAATTATCAAGTAATATAAGATTCCGGTAATTTTCTCAAACTAATAGTAATTATTGTTGGTAATACAGAAAGTAATATGATTATCTCTATTTTCTTAAGTATTTTAAGATTATTTGGTAATCTTATTTTTATTATAATTTTACCCTTAACTATTAAATTTTTTGGACAATAATATCATTGTTTTGAAAAAAAATTACAAAAAAATTCAAGGACTATTAATTTAATCCTTATATACAAAATTTTTAGGACATAAATATCCCTGCACTTTGAAAAAAATTACCCAAGAGTGGTGGGTGGATCTGGCCACCACTACTAGCCACCGACCGTCAGAAACCATAGCTGGATCTACGACTCGTGGCCGTTAACGAGGGCTCGATCTCTGGTTGTCGTTAACGGCCAGACAGTCAAAAGGATCTGGTTGTCAATGGCCAAAACACTGACCATTAATGATGGCCGNAATCTTGTAAAACAAAATAAATTTGTGTGATATTAACAATTTCATAGGGGTTAAATGAAGTAGACCAAACACAAGAAATGTATCGATCAAGGCCATGAGGGGAGTTATCAAATAATTCTTCAAATGTGAACAGAAATCACTGTTAATTTTTCATACCTTTGGGGTGTGAATGTAAAGCTGAAATTTTAGGTGAGGTGTGGGATAGGTGTTTATTGACTAAACGTGAACCATGCGACTATTTAGTATTTACACCTTAACCATGCGCGTTACTCATGACGCTTTCGTAACATCTCGTTGCATTTATCAGATTTTGGGCAAAACGTGGCACGCGTCTGATGTGCTCTGTTAAATTTTCAGATAATATTCTATTAATTCTGTCATTCCCATGTGTTGTTTGTTTCTAGCACAATTCAAGTTCCAAGTCTTATAGACAGCTGATTACTTCATCATAATTTTGTTTTATCTTTTATAAAGAGAAAAAAGAAAAAATTGAACTCCAATTTGAAACATTAATAATTTAATAAAATATAAATCTAAATTAATGCTTAACATAATAAATATAGTATGTGATAATTGTTATTTTCTTTAAGAAAAGAAGTGATTCTTTTTTTTTTATTATTATTATATCTTACCAAAAAGAGGTATAAGTATTTTTAACTCTTTACGTCTTCCCATTTTGCCAATTGCAAATCATGTGAAAGTTGAGTTTTCAACGCATGAATACAAGTCAAAAGTGAATAGCAATAGCGTGTCGAAACTGAAAACAATTCCACCTCAGATTCAGCATCCAGAAAACGCCTCTTTAATCTTTTGACTTTCAAGATCCTACCCATATATAAAACAATCTCCATCAAATTTGTAATGACCTATACATAATATTATTCCAAAATCCTTCAATCTTGCTATTGTTGTTTTCTTATAAATAACTAACTGAAAATGGGACACCGTCTGAATTTTCATCTTCATTTCCAGCATCATCATCATGAAGTGCCAAAGGGATGTTTAGCCGTGAAGGTGGGTCATGAAGGTGAAGAACAACACAAGTTTGTGATTCCAGTTATGTACATAAATCATCCACTTTTCATGGAGTTGTTGAAAGAAGCTGAGGAAGAGTTTGGATTTGATCAGAAAGGCCCCATTACCATTCCTTGCCATGTTGAGGAGTTTCGCAATGTTCAGGGTATCATTGATAATCACTACTCAATTCATCATATTGGGTGCTTTCATTAGAATGATTTGAATTTCATTTTATTATTACTTATTGTATTATATTTGTAGAAAATTAATGTCAAAGAGTCGTTATTTACTTCCTACACTTTTTATTATACACTACAAGATTACGAGAAACGCTAAGCAAAATCTCTTTTACACTCTAATTGTCACGTGTGTACAAAGAGACAAATAAAATGAGAAAATAAATAATCATTCATTACAAGTGAAAATGGTGTTCCTAACACTCCAAGATTATTTTTATATTCCCAACACATCTGTTTCAAACTAACATAACACCTACGCCAACGCTAGAATGATATCCCTTCACATATCTTATTTTTTTAAAATAAAATTGCCTTTATATATTTTAAAGACAATTACATTTAAATTTTATATTTATATGTAATACCGGTAATGTTATATAACATTAATGGTGTATTTGGTTGGGAGAAATCTCCCATTCCGAAGGTAATGTCATCTTATTTTACTTGATTACCACGTTTAATTATCAAGTAATATAAGATTCCGGTAATTTTCTCAAACTAATAGTAATTATTGTTGGTAATACAGAAAGTAATATGATTATCTCTATTTTCTTAAGTATTTTAAGATTATTTGGTAATCTTATTTTTATTATAATTTTACCCTTAACTATTAAATTTTTTGGACAATAATATCATTGTTTTGAAAAAAAATTACAAAAAAATTCAAGGACTATTAATTTAATCCTTATATACAAAATTTTTAGGACATAAATATCCCTGCACTTTGAAAAAAATTACCCAAGAGTGGTGGGTGGATCTGGCCACCACTACTAGCCACCGACCGTCAGAAACCATAGCTGGATCTACGACTCGTGGCCGTTAACGAGGGCTCGATCTCTGGTTGTCGTTAACGGCCAGACAGTCAAAAGGATCTGGTTGTCAATGGCCAAAACACTGACCATTAATGATGGCCGGTTCTGGCTATAGATCTGGCCACGAAAATGAACATACCGGCGCATGGTTGGCCAGATCCGGCCAGTCATGCACCGTTACGGCCATTGACGCCGCCACTGGTAGTGATGGCAGGTGGCCAATAGTGGCTTTGGGTGGGTGGGGGTGTTCTTGTTAAGTTTTAATCTTTTTTTTGTTGTTGGGGTGTTTTAGCAATATCTCAAACATAGGGGGTTAAAAAATTATTCAAAAAATAATAATAAAAATAATATTGTATTAATATTTAAAAATGAGGGCAATTTAGTAAATTATATGATATATCCACCAATTTATTCTTCCCAACCAAACATATTAATGTAACATACCTACCAATTTATTTCAACCAACCAAACACATTTCTCTAAACATTCTTAGTAATCTTCAAGGTAATCTTTCTTTCCATTAATATAACATTCCCTAAACAAAACACACCCTAAGGGGGCGTTTGGTTGGGGTTATCCTTCATTACTGTGGTAATGTCATCTTATATTACTTAGATTATCACATTTAGTTGTCAAGTAATATAATATTCTAGTAATCTTAAAAAACCAATAATAATTATTATTGATTATATAGGTGGTAATCTAAATACCTCAATTTTCTTAAGTATTTTAAGATTACTTGGTAATCTTAATTTTGTTACAGTTTTATTTTGAACTATTAAAATTTTTGGACAATAATGCCCTTATTTTGAAATTAATTTACATGAATCTGCCATTACAATTTTACCCCTAATTAATTAATTAAGTTTTTGGATAGTAATGCTCTTATATTTAAAACAAATTGCAGGCCACCCAAGACCACCACTGCCTGCCAACCACCACCGTCAGCTGCAGGCGACCATCATCGGCCACGATGGCAATCATCGGCTGACGTTGCTAGAACGATGCATGACCAGTCGAATCTGGTCAGTTGTGCACTGATCTGGTCATTTTCGGCCAGATCGATGGTTGGAAAAGCTAGATGGCTGTAAATCTGGTCGAAAATAGACAGACCCATGGCGCACGACATTGGAATAGATCTGGCTGTTTTCGACCCTATCATGGCTATTAACGGCCACAAATTTGGCTATTAACGACCATTGATCTGGCCGGAACAGCTAGAATATGTCTGGCCATTTTCAACCAGATCCATAATCGTCTGGCTGTTTCCAGCCATTGATTTGGTTGGAAACGACCAGATAGGCACATGATCAGCCAAATCTAGTCGGTCGTGCACCGTTCTGGTGACTGCCAATAGCGGCTGACGGTGGCGGTAGACAGCTGACAGTGGCTTGAGGTGGGTGGAGGTGATTTTATTAGATAAATGTTTGTGGCTGGAGTGTTTTAGCAAAATCTCAAATGTTAGGGGTTAAAAGTGATTTAAAAAAATAATATGATATTAATATTTAAAAAGGAGGGCAATTTAATAATTTATATAACATACCCACCAATCTATCCAACATTCCCAGTATTAATATAACAATGATATATATTCTATAATTACCGTCCCAACATTGTGAGTATAATACATATTGATATAGCATAATTTTCTCATTATCAATACGGTACAATATTACTCTAAATTTTATTCTAAAATATATAAATTCTTGGTTTTTATTATAGTGACTATTAAGATATCAATATTTAATTCAAATATAGTTAGCAGTAAAAATAAAATAAAATAAAAAATGAAAACTGAACCACGATTATGACAAGTTTGTTAAAGTACCTTAATTAGATTTTATATAAAATTAATATATATGAATTATATATATATGCAGTACTGTATTTTAATTCAACAAAAAATGAATTAATTTAAATTATAATATAGAAAAATAATTAAAAGGTAAAGTTAAGGTGAAATAATATATATTTAAGGGGGTGCGATCACTGTTTTAAAAACCGGACCGGACCGGGAACCGATCACGTGTCCGGTTCAAGTCAACACTAAACCCGCCATTATGTAATAACTCGCTTTAACCCATTTAAAAACCAGATAAAATCAGTGAACCGCCAGTCCAACCGGACCGGTGGATAAACTGGTCGAAATTTTCAAAAATCCGTAAACCTACGCAATCGCAACCCATTCTATTCTGATTTCCTTTCTCTGTTTCTCAGCTTCTTCTACACGAAAATTTCTCAGATTTCTCAGCTTCTCTACGAAAATTTCTCTCTGAAATCCCACTCAAATCGCAATCAACTCTACTCCCTGAAGTCTGAAATCGCAATCATTCACCAAATCGCAACTGAACTCTCTGAAATCGATGACAACGTCTTCCTCCCTCGTCAAAAATCGACGACGACAGCTCCATTCGTCGACGACAGCTCTGTTCCTCGATCCAGGTAATAAACACGCCATTCCTCGATCCAGCTTTAATAATGATTTCGTTGCAAACTTTATCTGAAGCAATGTTTTTTGTGGATTCATTGTTTTTATTTTGCATAATCTGTGATATTTTTGATACTTTAAAGCTTTCTTAAAAAAGTACACATTGTCTGTTTAAACGTATTTGTTTCCTTTGGGACATCTTCAAAATAATTTTCACCTCAATTCTTTAGGGTATCTTTTTAAGCTGAAGCTATTTTATCATTTAGAGTGCAATAATATGGAAATAAAGGCTCTCTTTAATCCTCAGGAGTAATGTGTTGTAAGCTGTTGTGTCTTAACTATATTTTTATGAAATGAGGAAGACAGAATGGTTCCCGAATGAAAAATGAGATATATCTCATACTGATTTTGAATTAAGGCATATTGCATATGATTGTGCTCCTGAGTTCTGGCTTATTTTTAATCGTCTGGTGTGTTGATTAGTATTATCTACATCCTTTCAAATATATATATATATGCTAATTATAGGACTTAATGGAATCGTTTCAAAAATTAAAATTAATATATATTTATGATTTACAGGAAACTGTTTAGGGTTGAATCGGACAATTGTTTAAACAATCAAATATTTCGTTCAACTTAGTTAAAGGTGTATAAAAACATTTTTTTTCTTCTCTTCTTGCAATTGTGTGTGTGTGTGTGTGTGTGTGTGTGTGCGTGTGCGTGTGCGTGTGCGTGTGCGTGTGCGTGTGCGAGTGCGAGTGTGAGTGTGAGTGTGAGTGATAAAATAAAGAAAAGAAAAGAGAAAGGAAAAAAAAGAACGGTCCATTAGGAGATGATTAATGCCTGTGGAATATCCTTTTGTGCATAGTCGAGAAGTTGTGTAAGTGTGAAAAGACATCATAATTCTCATCAGACGATACTAATCTGAATTAGACCAAAGAGTAGTTCCTAGATCGTATTGACTATGTTCTTAGTAGTTCTTAAATTAAATTACAAGTTTTAACTTGTGATTTCTATTTTTTACTGAAATTTACGTAGATGATGGTGATGGTTATGATGATGATGATGGTGATGATGATGATGAATTTTGATGCTAGTGTGTGAAGCTCAATCAACATGGAGACGGATCAAAGAAAGAACACTTGCACCAAATGTGTTGTTGTTAATTATTATGTATTTTGTCATTTAATATATAATGGATGAACACAATATCATGTTTTGGATTTGGATTTTAGATTGTTGTTAAATACTTAAATTATATTAGAATTGTTATTGAATTTGAACTTTGAATCATGTTGGGTAGTAATTAAGTTGTTATTGTCTTATTAAAAAAATGAAAATCCTTTCAAAAAAAAGAAAAAAAAAAAAAACAGGTTTTTTATGTGCTAACGCCATCATGCTGATGTGATGATATCACCGGTCCAACCGGTTAGACCGATTAACCCGTGAACCAGAGAGTAGAGCGGGTTGCCCTCCAGTCCGGGTTTTAAAACAATGGAGGAACAATTACAAAGTAAAAGTCAGTTGAAAACTAAAATTATCTTCCAAACATTTGACAAAATTGTAATTTCCTCCTGAAGTATCACTATATAATACTTTCCTCTTCATGTATAAAATATAATTCTGTTAGTATTCCGTTAAAGTGTGATTATTATTTCAGATACACAATAAACTATTTTTAATGATACTTTCAATTCAACTCTTTTATGTTAAAAAATAAAAAATAACCTTATGGAAATTGACAGTAAAGATGGATCCCACTATCAAGTAAGGCGCTTGTTATATACAAAAATGAGCACACATTTTCAATTAGATCAAAGAGCATAGATCAATATTTGTTCCACATTTTGATAGACAAAAAGGTGTTTGAATCTTGACAACTCAAATAGATACCTATTTTGGATAATTTAATAATTATCTAATTTGAAGTTGTAGTGGATCCAATGTTGATGCAAAGATCTAATAACCTGCTTATTACAACAAAAAGCTACAACAAGAATTCTGAGTTATACTCTATTGTATTATGCACATTTGACTCAGAAATCACATGGTATAGCATTTCAGTGGAAATTAAATGAATTATATATATATATATATCTTTTAGACATTTCATGTACACGCTTCTTTCTCTGAATTCATAAAATATAAATGAAAAATACCTTTTCATAAAATTTCTGCCAATAAATTCTATCATTGTTGCCTGCGCCTTGTATTGGTATTCCGTATCGTCACACCATGTAAAAATTTAGTATATCCAATGTAACTCAGCTTCCCATCTGAATTTCTGATACAGTCGTTAAACACAGAATAAGCTGCAGGAGCCACATTCATTTCCTGCAAATTGTTTTCATATAGCTAGTAAGTCGATATTTGATCATTTAAAAAAAAAAAAAAAAAAAACTTGACTATACCAACAACACATGCACATACCAGAGCCAATTCCTCAACCGAAATGGGTCGATTTCCTTCTTGTTCAAAATATTCAAAGGCTGTACTTGCAATTGTTTCCCATTCCTCAATAGCCTCGAGCTGATATACACTAATAGCAGCAGCACAAAACTCTTCGAATTCCATATCTTTATATGCAAGAGGATCCATCTTATGTTAAAAAACAAAATGGAACTTCTGTTAGCATCAAGTACAAGATGAAAAATGATAATAAGGAAGTTCTACTTCATAAGAAAGAAAAATTGGAATCAAGGTTATGATAATATATGAAATTTTGAGTGTTAAATAATAATGAACAAGAATGCTGCAGAAAGCCATGGAATAAGAATGTTTATTTTAAGGATAAGATATCAGTCCTACAAAATGAAGAAACGTGGACTTTTTCCTTTTTATTCTTCTCCTATGCTGCTTCAAAGATTATAGCCAGACCATATCCAACAATTCACAGGTTTTACAAAACACAAAAGCGTATAGTGTAATATATCATGTAATTAAAATCTTAAGAGGCAAAAACACAATACAATAAAATAACCACTGTACAGAAATTTGTGATAATATACATAAACTGTGTGAGGATTAAAGATTTATCAAGAAGACTCACCAAATCAAAAATTTCAAAAACCCTTGCATCCATCATGGCATCAGTTACATTTCTCATTAGAGCCTGCACTTCTTCATAACAAACTAATAATCATGATAAAGCCATGGCTGATAACCAATTGGAAATTATTAAATAAGACAGCAATTTCTATCAGTAAAAAAAGTAAAAATAATTTTGAAATCAATAAAAAAGAAAAAGAAATATATTACACACACTATTACAGCAAAAACAGAAATAAGGTTTAATAATTACTTATAACTTAAATACTAATTTTTTTTTTAACTAAAAAATAAAAAGAATGAAAGAAAGAAAAGTGCGAGAACTAAGGGGAAGCACCAACTAACCGCTTTAAAATTACTAAGAGAGACACGACCAGTTTTAGGTTCCAAAAGCCTAAACTGTGCCCTAAGATATATTAGCTCGTCTTCTGTTAAAGCTTTTGAAAGAGCCTGCAGCCACATTAAAGACCAGATAAGTAAATTTGTTAAAGCAGTGACCACGGAAAAAGGCAGCCCAACTACACTGTGAAAGTTGCTCCAAAAGGTGGGCTATGTATGTACAAGATATCACTAGAAAATGAGTTTGGAGGATTCCTGTAAATATCATACACTGCTTTGTTAATTATGACAAGTCGGGCAACTACCTTTAATGCTGCATGTTTAAAAGGTGTGGCACGAAGGTAAGACTTGACTAACTTGTATATCAAGATGTCCAAAGGGCCAGCACAATTTTCATCTCGTAACCATCGATGAGCTGCAAATGTCAAGGAATATAATAGTTTCCATCAGTAATAAATAATAAATATATGCTATTACAAGCAAATAATAGACTGTAAATTCTATCAAATGCTTTCTTGTGTATGTATATATGTATGTGTATTGATCTAGTCTTCTCTGCCAAAAAATTTTGACATTACTTACTTAGACATTGGGCCGCAGTCATTCTTTTCCTGGGGTCCTTGCTCAGAAGCCTTCGTGTAAAATCTTTGGCTTCTGGTGATACAGCAGGCCAAGGTGAATCACTAAAGTTAGGATCAGCTCGAAGCACTGAACGAAAGATTCCAGATTCAGTCCGGGCCCAGAAAGGTCTGCTTCCACATAACAATATATACGTTATGACACCAATACTCCACATATCTGCTTCAACGCTATACATTCTGTGAAGAACTTCAGGTGCAACATAATACGCACTCCCGACAATATCGTTGAGACGTTGATCTGCAGGTGTGAAAAAACTGTATGTTTTTTCATTCAAGCTTACGCTCGTCAACTAAAGTAACTCTATGTTAAAGGGAAGTAATTGCAAAGGATGGCAACTGAAAATCATTGATTGATGCATCTCTGTGACTCAGTGAAAAAGCAAAATTGCATACCATTATGCAGTAGCATAAAACTATTTCAAGTGATATATCAAGTATAAAACAATCAAATTAGGTTATCAGCCATCTGAAGTCTAAGACTGAGATATATGTAGATGTATTGTGACCCAAGGCCATTTACAGAAAAATTTGGCCAAAAATGCCACATTGTTTCCGCGACCATGTTTACAATAATACTTGTACACTACTTACAGGGGAGGCTGGGTAGCTTGCCCTGGAACATAGGCAATAAATTAAGCATGATTATTGGTAGCACTCACAAGGTTGAAATGTCTATTAAACTAATGGAAAGTAATTAATACAGAGCGGCAAAAATTAGCTTCTTAAAAAAAAAAAAAAAAAAATGAAATGTCTATTAAACTAATGGAAAGTAATTAATACAGAGCGGCAAAAATTAGCTTCTTAAAAAAAAAAAAAAAAAGTGGGACCAGAGGTATTTCATACTCTCTGGACAAATGCTCTAAGGAAACAAACCCAATAAAGAAATTGACCTGAGGATGTGATGAACACCTATCCTAGAATTCCCAATCACAACACCAAATCCCAACAATTCCAACAACACAGCTCAAACACAGCAAAAACAAGATGAACACTAAAGAGGGCAAGTAAATCAGATCAGAACAATAAGAAAATTATAGGTGATAGTATTCATGAATGGAACAGTAGAATCAACTGGTCTTCGAGGGCTAAAACCTCCCAGGTAAGACTCACGCACAAAATCAGGATATCCCACTACAACTCCCTTTTTCCCTTTTCATTTTGACATGAAGATTCTAACCAATTACCTAGCCAACTGTCCCAATACAATTTACCCCTTTTGCCCCTATTGCCCATTCTTTGTCTTGCATATATACCACTTAGAGATGCCAGGTCCATCATTAGTTCATTACCCTCCCCAAGAAGTGTCACCTTGTCCTCAAGGTGAAAAGATGGGAACTGATGGCAGATGGTTTCATAAGATTCCCTAGTATTATCACAAGTTGGAGAATTCTTCCATTTGATCAAAACTTCATAGTCCCCATTCAGCAATTGTCGTTTGAGCAAAGCTTGTTTTGGTTCAACTTAGATTACCATATCACCATCCAGGAACTGAGGAAGAGGAAGTGCAGCAACTGGATGCAAAGTGATCTTTTCCAACTGAGATACGTGGAAGACGTTATGGATGCAAGCCGTGTCTGGAAATTTCAAACGGTAAGCCACAGGGCCAATTTTCTCAATCACCTCATATGGTCCATAGAATCTAGGGCTGAGTTTTTCGTTGGTTCTTCTGGCTAGGGATTTGAGACGATATTGTTGGAGTTTTAAGTAAACTAGATCTCCCACATCAAACTGAACAGCTCTTCTTTTTCCATCAGCATATGCCTTCATAGCCTCTTGAGCATTAGACAAATTTAGCTTGAGTTCCCCTAGGATGCGTGCTCAGAATACTTAAGTGTTGGTGGATCTCTACCATATAATGCCCAAAAAGGAGTCATACTTAAAGATCGGTTAAAGGTCGTGTTAAACCAATATTCCGCCCAACTCAACCATTTAGGCCATTGTTTAGGCTGCTGCCCCAAAAGCAACGTAAATATGTCTCAACGCCCTGATTGACCACTTCGGATTGACCATTTGATTGGGGATGATAAGCTATACTCATGTGTAGCTTGGTGCCGGACTGTTTAAACATCTCCCCCAAAAAAATACTCATAAAGAGCTTGTCCCAATTCGATACAATTGTTCTGGGAAAGCCATGTAATTTCACAGTATGTTGAAGGAAGAGGTTAGCTACCTCCTTGGCTGTGTACGGGGTGTTGTAGAGGAATGAAATGGTTGTACTTTGTCAGCCAATCAACCACCACCAGTATTGTATAGACTCAGTGAGCTTTAGGAAGGCCCATGATGAAGTCCATCGAGATGTCCTCCCACACTTGGGTTGGCACGGATAAGGACTGTAATAATCCGACTGGTTGGAGGCTATCATATTTATTCTGTTGGCATATAAGGCAACTGCGGACAAAATTCTGGCCATCACCTTTCATGCCCTCCCAAATCCTAATACACAACTTGAGACAATCTTTTGTAGGTTCTGAAAAACCCGGAATGACCCCCCATAGGAGTTCAGTGAAATTCCCGAAGAAGAAGCTGAACTTGGGGGCTTGAACAAGGCAAAATTACCCGATCATCATAGAAAAGTTGATGTCCCACTAAGTGAAAGTGTAGATGGCTTTGAGAATCCACAATTAAATCCTGATTGATTTTGCTCAGTTTTTCGTTTTGTTGAATAACTTCCTCCCATTCATTTCGGCTGTTAAAATAGCAAGTAGAGATATTGCATTCAACCCAATCAGCTCGTCGGGACAAGGCATCAGCTCGTCGGGACAAGGCATCAGCCGCCTTGTTTTCCAACCCCAGTTTGTACTATATTTCAAAATCCAACCCTAAAAGCTTGATTATCTACTTTTGTTGACCCTCCCCATGTAACCTTTGATCATTCAAATAATGAAGACCGTGTTGGTCGGTTTGAATGATGAAATGCATTTTGAGAAGATAATGTTTCCACTTCTATATTGCTAAAACAATCGCCATAAGCTCCCTTTCATAAAATGATTTCGCCTATGCCCTCACCAAAAGCCCTTGACTGATAAAAGCTATTGGTCGTCCCTCTTGCATTAAAACAACCCCCAGTCCTAGGCTCGAAGCATCTGTTTCAATGATGAATGTCTTAATCAAATCAGGCATAGCAAGGACTGGTAAAGTAGTCATTACCCTTTTAAGTGTCTCAAATGCAACCTCTGACGACTCTGTCCAACTGAAAGAATTCTTGCGAAGGAGATCTGTGAGAGGTCTTGCTAGAGATCCATACCCGTTAACAAACTTTCGATAATACCCAGTTAGTCCGAGAAACCCACGTAGGGCTTTGATATCTTCGAGTACTGGCCACGCGAGAATACACTCAATTTTGGTCGGATCTACTGCTACGCCCATAGGTGAGATTATATGCCCCAAGTAGTCCAACTGAGTCTGAGCGAATTTACATTTCTTCTTGTTCACCACAAGCTGGTGCTACTTTAGTATTTGAAAAGTGATGCTCATGTGGTCCAAGTGAGCTACCATACCTGAACTATAAATCAGAATGTTGTCGAAGAAAACCAACAGGAACAATCTCAGACAAGGCTTCAAAATGTCATTCATCAGGGCCTGGAAGGTTGAGGGGGCGTTGGATAACTCGAAAGGCATTACAAGGAATTCATAATGACCTTCATGTGTTCGGAATACTGTTTTGAAAGCGTTGTCTTCTTTCACCCTAAACGGATGGTAGCCTGAATTGAGGTCCAGCTTAGAAAACACAAAAGCTCCACCCAATTCATCAAACAATTCATCTACTGTCGGGATTGGAAACTTGTTAGGACAGTAATCCTATTAAGTAGGGATGGAACCGAACTAGACCGAAAATCTGGTTTTTTTTTTTTTGTTTCGGTTTGATTATTAAAAAAAACCGAAAATCCGGTTCGGTTTCGGTTTTTGGCAAAATTAATTCCGGTTACCCGAAACCGGTTTTATGAACCAAATTTAAAAAAAAAAATTATGTGGTTTACATTTTTGATTTTGCAATCCCTAACACTAACAGTCTAACTTGTCTAACACCCTAACACTACTCACTCAGTACTCAGTAATACTCATTCTCAGTTCTCACTGCTTCACTACTCACGCACGCCGCAGCCGCACGGTACTCAGTCTCAGATCAGACCTCACTCACCTGAGTAAGTCTCGCATTCTCTCAGTCTTAGTGACTCAGTCTCAGTCTCTCACTCTCACTATCACTCTCACTCTCACTCTCATTCTTTGTCTCTCACTCTCTCTTGGACTCTCACTGTCTCTCAGTTCTCAGATATATGTTCTCACGCGGTCACGCCTTAGCCAATAGCCACACAAATTTCTGACCTTGCTCATGCCACCGGTCTTTGCTCACGCCGCCGATCTTTAGCTCAACAGTCCGCAGTCACCAATCACAGTCAGCCAGTCACCATTCTTCTTCCTTCACCAAGTCGATGGCTCACTACCGTCGCCGTCTAGGTTTCCCAAGTCCCTCACGCGTGGCTACTGCGTGACCTCAGCTACAGTCGCTGTCGTCGCTCCAGTCTCCACGTCGTCGTCTGTTTCCGGTAGGTGACCTCATCTCTGTCTCTCTCTCTTCTTCGGAAGCTGACTGTTATAAGGCTGTGATGAGGGTTTCAAGCTTTGAGTAGGACTCTTTGAGACCCGTTTATTGGCGGGGCAACCCGGAGGTAGCTCCTTGTTGCAGCCATTGAAATCCTCAAGGTTTCACTTTCAGAGCTGAATCTGAGCCCCCATATATCTACCACTCGTTTTGTGTTTATTATTTTGCCTTTTGGTTTACTAAATTGAAATTGAAGCATTTTGGTTTTAACTCAAGCACTTGCTGATGTGAAATGGGTTTGCTGGAAATTTATAAGTGAATCACAATGTACATTTTTGTTAGAAGGTTGTGAATATGAATACTTTCGAATTCTAAGAGACTTAAAAGTTTCTTACTAGTTTAGTTAAGCTGAATCCTGAAGCTTCATGACAACAAATGGTAAAATCTCTTTCTTTATAAGAATTATAAATAATGTCAAAATAAGGAAGAAAAATGGGTAGTCATAGACCAAATTTACATGTTGATCAAATGCTCTATTGTGGAGTGTGACCGAATTGGGCCGAAAAATGTAGCCCATCATAAATTCTAATTAACCGGTTAACCGAACTGAATTTTTGGTTTGGTTCATAACCGGTTTTTAATCGAAAACCGGTTCGGTTAAAGCTACCAGCTAGCCGGTTTTTTCCACCCCTACTGTTAAGAGCCTTGTAATCAACGCAAAAACGCCACCCACCATCCTTCTTTTTCACTAATAGCATCGGGCTAGAAAAAGGGCTTTTACTTGGCTTTATAATGCCGGACACTAACATATCACACACAATGCTCTCAATCTCATTCTTCAAATAATAAGGATATCTATAGGATCTGATGTTAGGAGGTTGGACACCTGGCTCGAGTCTAATTGAGTGGCCATGGATTCTAGCCGGGGGAAGTCCTTCCGCAAGTTCGAACAACCCCTCATGTTGTTGCAAGAGTTCTGTAAGCGTTGTATCCTCAATTGAGAACCCTTCAGTTTGCTTCTGCATCTGCCCAAACTCAATGTAATAACCCGACCCTTCAAAATGTAGTGTCTTCAACATCCCTTTGAGAGACACCATGGTTTTGCATAGAGATGGGTCTCCTCGAAGAGTTACTGTCTCACCCCAGCTTCGAAACTTCATAACCAATTTCTTCCAATCAGTTGTTGTTTCACCTAGCATCTCAAGCCATGCAATTCCCAAAATAACATCTGTACTACTCATCTCGAAGGGGAAATTTTTTTGTATAATGTTGATACCCTACAATTTCAAGCTCACATCCTTACATTCCCCTTGACATCTGACATTAAACCCATCTCCCACCCTCACTCTGAAGGCTTTTGGGTGAACAACCAGAATCTATATCTCCAATCCTCTATTAATGAAATTATGCGAAGCACTGCTATCAACTAAAACCATTACTTCCCTATCTTTAACTTGCCCTTTTAATTTAAATGTTCGCGGACCATTAATCCCAACAACGAAACTAATTGATAAATCAGCCTTTTTGGGTACCTCTTTGATAGAACCCCCTGTTAATTCAACCAATCTTAACAACAAATAATTCCCCAAACACAATTTAACAATAACTAATTCCGCAACAGTCCAATATTGTATTGAAATTAAAGGAAAACGATAATAGAAAGGCAATTACAAGAACGGATAGATCCCAACAATTCGAAGAGCTAGGGGCCTCCCAAAAGACTCTTAACAATATTTCATGCCTTAAGAAAATAGCTCACTCTCCTAATATACTGTTTACTCCCAAAATTATTCCCCTCTAACCAACAATATTCCCCAACACGTGGACAATTATAACAAGTGTAACAAACCTCACTACATCACACTTCCAACACCCTTTCCAGTACAATTTTTACCCTTGTGCCCCCTTAGTTGGTAAACCTTGCTAATCGGAGGTCTATCAACACAATCAGTCTTTTGATTTTCTTTTCTTGATTGTATTTTGCATTACTTTTCTGAGTTGTTTGCTTACAAAATACTGAGGATAGGACTGTTGGAATCTAAGTAGTGTCTAGCTGTAATGTTTTGTTGAGGTTAATACACAGGATCCTATTACTATTTTGGTGAATTTGACTTTTGAGTGCAGATTGTTTGTTGGTAGTTTGCTTGAATTGCAGGTCAGGTCCTATCAAGTGGTATCAAAGCCATGAGATCTGGGTAATGGTCTTGACAAGAATGGATTCTAGACT